TTATTTGACAGAGAGAGACACAACGAGAGAGGGAACACAAGCAGGGGGAGTGCGAGAGGGAGAAGCAGGCTCCCCGCAGAGCAGGGAGCCCGATGCGGGACTCGATCCCAGGACCCCGGGATCATGACCTGAACCGAAGGCAGTCGCTTAACCAACTGAGCCACCCAGGCGCCCGGCCACAATTTTTTTTAAGGCTAATAATAATAGCTACTATTTATTGAGTACCTGCTCTATGACCAAATAAGCATTTTGATAAGTTAACTTTTTTATTCTTCACCAGTGTGTGATGTATTTTTTGTCCTCTTTTTAAAAAAGATTTATTTATTTATTTGAGAGATAGAGAGTGGGGAGGGGAAGGGTGGAGAGAGAATCCCAAACAGACTCCCCACTGAGTGCAGAACCAAAGAGGGGCTCAATCCCATGACACTGAGATCATGACCTGAGCCAAAATCAAGAGTCGGATGCCTAATTGACTTAGCCTCCCAAGCGCCACTATTTTTGTCCTCTTTTTATAATTGAACTTAATGCTTAGAGAGAAGTGAAATGTAGTTCTGGCTCTGAAACCTAAACTCTTAATCCCATATGAGCCTAAGGGGGATCCATCATTTAAGAGATTCAAGTAAATTGATAGCACATGATTGAGTTTTGCTGAGGCAAGAGCAAAAGAGGTGGTGGGAGCCAAGATGGAGCGTTTTGGGTACAGGGCTATGATTCTGCTAGGAATGATGATTTTACTCTCATTATTTTATTTTTGGTGGGAAAACCCGCTGTCCAGAGACTTCTTCTACGGGGGGGAGGAAGTAGGAGGTCTGAAGATTTAGAAAGCGGATATAATATGAAGCTAGCTTGCAATGGAAACCATTCGAAACACACAGCTTGGTCCCCCCACCCCAAGTCATTTTGCAGCAAACTTGAATGGAACCAGCACCAATGCAACGTTAGAGGGTGATGACAGGAGCTGCATGAAGGGGTGCTGAGTGATGTTGAGGAATGGGGGCGGCGCTGGTGAGCCCCAAACGATTGCCCTATCTATGGACAGGGAGAAAAATGGGGTAAACCTATCATAGTGGGCTGCAGTGTATACTCCAGCCAATAGGTAATTAAAGGGAAAGCCACTGTCCATACACTGGCAGGCAAAGTAAATACCCTTAGAGGCTAAAGAGCCAAACTTGTACTTGGCCTGGCTCCTGCAGCTGGCCCAGGTGTAACCAAGCACCATGAGGTTGACGAGGTACCAACCAGGTACCATGGTCGATGAGGGACCACACGATGGGAAACTATTCATCACAACGTGGTGGTGGGGGCGGGGCAGAAGCGATGCCAAAATGGTGAAGGAAAAGTTGGTGGTAAACCTGAGGATCTGAGAAAGTGCAGAAAACTGAAATGGGTCCATGGCATCTTAACAAATCATTAAGCCTGTGACCATGTGCTGAGGCTCACCTTTACCATCAGGAGAACAATGATTCCTGGAAGGTCACAGAGAGTGCAGAGGCCCATCACAACGACATTGTGCCCTGCATAGTATAGATATTAGTGCAGATGACATCAAGGCTTGGGCTCCTTTAATAACTATAAAGTGCTATCATTGAGATGCCATTTGATGAAGGGCCTAGGGTAGGTGTTAATAACCCTCAAACCTATCCAGATAATGAGTTAGGAAAGATCACAGGAGTGTATCATGGAGCTAAATTAAAAGGGTTTCATTGATCCTGGAATTGATGTCTTTGCTACTCCTATGAACACTAAATAAAGGGGGATGTTCTAGATTACAGATATTTATCCTGGAACTGTAGGCTAACTGATATTGATCCACATGCCTGTGTCATTGGTAAACACATCAGTCTAAGTGGAATCCATATAACTCTGCCACTGGAGAGGCATTTTCCATGGAATTGAAAAATTCATGAGTGTAGCTTCTTGCATGAACCTCTTGAGACTGTCTTCCAATGTGGAGGACCAAACCTTTTACCGTTCAGGATTTGGCAATATGGGCCCACACACTATGCTGTATTTATATCATTTTGATGTTCGATGGGTTGGTGTCGGTAAGAGTGATGGTAACATATGGGAGCCAGATAGTATTTATCCAAGAGAGTTAGAAAACTCTAAATTACAAATGAACAAGATTGGACAAGATTGTCTTTTCCGCAGTCAGGTCCTATGAAAGAAATATTATGACACATGCACTTCTGCTTCAGGTAAAAAAAAAAAAAAGTTTACCAAACCCAACACACCCACTATCAGAAAAGAATCATTGCTGAAGGCAGTAATGGACCAATAACACTGGGGATAAAAATCTTCCCGAAGGGGAATAGTTCGGTAATCCCTGCTCTCTACTTGAATGCTAGGGGAGTAACTGTACCATTTTAAGTGATTAAAAGGTTTTTTGAATTATGTCACACAACCACTTAAATATGAACGGGATTTTCACTACCATTTGCTAATGCCTGCTCAAAAAGTTTAGAAAGAAAATGTGGAAATCACAGTGGGGCTAATCATTTGCGCCCTTTTGCAGGGTTTCAGGACACAATGTCAAGAGCCTTATCCTATAGTATAGATGGTAAGAACATGACATTACCCTCCTGTATGTTAAAGCACAGCAATTCAGTTTTACCTCTGTAAAAGTAAAAGTTGTTTCTTGTTAAAAATTTTATTCTCAGGTGACACTGTAGGCTGATGAGCCAACCGACGCCCATGGGGAAGAACTCCTAAGCAATGACAGTTGAGTTCCCTGCTTCCCCAGTGAGACCCCAGAAGCGCCTGGAAAGAGAGTGGGCAGTCCTACTACCCAAAGTGGAATTAAATTAGGGAGGAACTTCTTGATACCAAGGTGATTGGTAGTTGGTGGTGGAAGTGGGTTAGGGTACCATATCCAGCCTGCGTCCTATCTCCTTGCCATGACCTCTGAAATGTCATGATGGAGGTATCACGTAGTCTGTTGCTTTTCTCACTGGAAATTTTATCAAGATCATTGAAGAGCCACATGCAGTTGTAAGAACTAATATAGAGAGATCCTGCGCACCCTTTACCCATCTCCCCCCTGCCCAATGGTAACAGAGTCTGTTACTTCTTGCTTTGTGGGAATGTATATCCTTTGGAAATAAGACCAGAGTACTCTAATTAAAACATTAAAGTGCACATATAATGGAGCCAAACTGCCAATTTCCTTTTCACTCCAAGGTGGGCCACTTGGGAGAACATGGAGAACTTACAAGTGAGATTCCAAGTAAAAACCATGACTCTGAGCTATTCCATGGGACACTCGATGGAGCCCCTGGGTCTGAGTTACTCAGTGGCAGAATCTGCAGGACATTTCCTGCATGGCTCACGAAGGCAGGGCATTTCCCCGTGAGCTAGGTAAAATGACCAATGCCAAGGGGGGGGCCAGGAAGGTGACAGAAGAGAGAAGCACCAGCTCGTTGATGTTTGTCATTTTTATTTGCAATACTTTAGGTCCAAGTTTCAAACTGCAATATTTTTACACTCAAGACACAGTCATGCACAATCCATATTTCAATTTTCTATTGCTTCAACCACAATTTAAAATAACAATATTGGAAACAAAAGTCCTTAAAAAAAATCAGAAGCTGAGGTCAGAAGGATAGAACCACACCATCAGCAGGTCTACGAAAGAAATAACTTACCGAAAAAAATCAAACAAACAAAAAGACCATAAATACCTTTAATCCAAAGTTACAGAAGAATTTCACTACACATGGGTTTACAGGTAACACATTTGAACAAAAGTAATGCACAACCAAATGAGATACAATTCTGATAAAAAATGAAAATATAGATCCTCCTCAACTTGTTTTGTCTGGATATCATGAGTATAATCCCATCAGCCACCTGTGATCTGAATCCTCCTGGCTGATGTCCTGAGATTTAAAACTCAACCCACGAATGGTTATAGGATTCGGTGAAAGGTCTTATCATCACTAATGACTATAGTAGATGCGGGTCCATAAAGCACGCCACACACAAGCACACACACTGAACTTGAATTTCGCACTCAGGGCTGGTTGGCACTCTGCTAACAGGCAGGGCATTGGGACTAACTGACTTCCGGTGTACCCTCTCTCCAGCAGTATACTCCTACAACTGGCCGATCAACTGTGGGAGTTGTCATCAGAAATGCTATCTTTGGTTCCCAACAAGTGGATTTGTCAACACTCCTCAATGCTAATAGCATGTAGTTACTTTGTCATTTCTTTCTCTGCAACCTACAAGTGCTTACGTCCGCTTTTAATAGTCCCAGCCATTGACATGCATGGTTCTGCCGTCTTGTGCCATTTACAAAGTAAAGTCTACAAAGCCCAGCATCACTTCATAGGAAAGGAGAGGCCCAAACGTAGTTCTGTTCTAGCAAGTGTGACAGTGTATTTCTGTTCTAGTAGCAAATACTGGCCACAGCTTAAATGAAAACCAGACTTTACGTACAGAGCATATGGGAAATAAAAACTGGGAACACACTACAGGAAAAGGACATTAAAACAACAACAAAACAAAACAACTGTGAGGAATGGGAAGGCTGCCACAAGTTTTATCAACACTCCCTAGTGTTATGTTCATTTACTTGAGGTTTTTTCCCC